ATAGACAGGTGGACAGGACAAAAACTGTATGCCCCCCGGATCTTCGATTACAGTAGCATAATAAAATGTCGGCGTCTTTGGGTTTTCGCATTGGCCTTAAATCTGAAAATCCAAAGGATTACAAGGTGCATTACGATACGCTTTCACATCATGTTCCATAACGCAGAGCATATTGTCTGCAAAGATAAATATTTAATTCAGTATTTAATTAGCTATGCATAATTATCTATGTTGTTTTAAAAAGGAAATATAAAAAAAAAAATTGTTTTATATTTTTCGATGTATAGATATACAGAAAATGTTTTTCAATTTTACATTACATTTTTGCTGGGTTTCGCCTATGTATGACCGTAGAGAAACAAAGAGTGGGGAGGGTGCAAGCAGCAACTAAATCAAAATTTACATATTAAAACTACAACAAAAGACTATTTTCAGAAGGTCTGCCCCCCCCCCTACAATCCGTACAACGGACCTGCGAGAAAAATACTGATCCTACATTCAGAGTCCCAGGGCACCAGGAAAGAGTACTAGTGGCAAAAAGAGAATATCGGTTTATTTCAGTCTATAATTCGAATCAAAATATCTTCTCCTCAAGAGTCTTCTTTCTTTGAGTTCTTCCCAGTGATCGTGTGATTTATTTCATTTAATTTACGTTCTGTACTGGACTTGGAAAATGAGGACATCTTTAGGTTCCTGAGCTGGCTTGAAGCCCGCAGAACAGATTTTCTGCTTTATGATAAATTCAAGTGATATGTAATTCGGTATTAATTTTTTGTTGATTTTATTAATGTTAATTTCATCAAGAAATATGAAAAATTAATGTTTTAACTATACATAGTGAGGCATTTTTTGTGTGGAACGATTATTTTGGGGTTTTCACGATTTTTTCATATGGTACACATGATGAGAAAGTGCAATAAATATAATTTGTGGAAAAAATGTCCAACAAGCCCCGGGGTTGAATATCGGGGGGGGGGGGGGGGGGAGGGGTCTGTCCACAAGTACCTGTTGTCAAGCCCGTAGAAAACAATTTCAGTTTTTTTTTTGGGGGGGGGGGGGCAAATAGAAATTTCCACAGGTACTTGTACTCGATTTTTTCCTATGGTACACATGATGAATAAATGTAATAAATATAATTTGTGGAAAAAAATGTCCAACAAACATTGGGGTTGAATTTGGGGGGGGGATCCTGTCCACAAGTACCTGTGGAAATTTCTTGATACATAAACAGAACTTAAAAGCATGTATTAGACATCTTTTGAAGGGGAGAGGGCACGGCCGTAATTAAAAGTTATATAGAGACTAGGAAGGAATGAACTGTCATTAAATTTTGGTTAAGAACTATTACCTAAACTCTTCACTTTCACATTTTCAATTACAGATTCTTGTTTTTAAAAAGCTATACATGTACATTTATATGTATCTATTAGATGCATAAATTATGTTATTAATCATTTTATCTTAAAGGAAAAGTAAAAATCTCAATCAAACTTGTTCCGCATATTATGCTCTCTGATTCATTACTCAACAGATGCTTCATATACATGTAAGAAGGGACGACTGCAGACTGCAGGTGTGATAAATTCACAGCATGCAGCTCCAGCCTTAATTCCAACTTTGTTCCAAAATATTATTATTCAACGCAAAAAATTAGAATTAGCCGATAGAATATTTTGAATCACTTCGGAAATGCTGCCGTAACACCAGACTGAGTTCACAATATCGAGTGATTTTGATTGACAGGTGTAGCGCCGTTGTGCATGGATTTCGTGTAATTATACATGTACTGCAGATTGTGGTTGAAAATAATACACAAACAGATGTAAAGAAAAGATATTGTATACTGTACATATATTTGTTAAGAACCAGTTCATTCATGAAACGAATTTAGTCGTAGTATGTGGGCCCATGTTAGATTAGAGGTTGATTTACTAGTAGAATTTCAATGGACCACAGTCATTTAGGGTATTCCGAATCACCCCGCACATCGCGACTCTCGGTAATTTACCTTACCGCTGTACCTCGCACGACACATGCACAGGTGTGACAACCAAACAGTCATTATTAGTAAGGTCTATACTTATTGCATACAACAAATAAAGAGGTAAACATAATGCGTTAACTAAAAGAATTAATTATTTTAATTAATTAACTTCCTATCCTTTTCGAAGAAAATGCCCGTGTAGAAACGTATTTCTCATCGATGTCGTGGCGTTGTTGGTGGATGAAACATGGCATATAAGGTATCGATAGAACGGCAATTTTATAAGCTTTTGTGAGTATTATTTGTTTTTTATAACACCTCAAAAATATACTAGTTATGGCCGCATTTTTAGCCCCCTACAGTTTCGAACCACGTGTGTACATGCCCCTAGCCAAATAAATTGCACACGCTACATGTATACTTGTTATATGTCAGATTATTATTTTTTTATAACATTGTTTTTCTTAAATGCAAGGGGTATGAAAGTAATGATTTGACAAAGCAAGAGCTATAATAAGACTATCCCGGGTCCCGGTATACACTTGATCAGTGTTGATCAATGTTCATATGTACGAGTACACGTATGCAAATAATTCGATAGCTTTTGAAGATTTCAACATACATTTTTGTAACACGCATATTTGTAATAACCACTTTATATACAAAACAAAATTTCATTCTCTTATATGGTAATATGGACGTCGTAATAGATCTGACTGAATGTTTGACATGCCTGTTTCAAAAACGTTTCCTAAGTTATCTTAAGATATGCCTAAGTTATAACTTTAGAATTTCCTAAGATTTATCACAGCTGTATCGCGAAACAATCTTATCTAAAAAAAAATTTATAAGTCATTTTTTAAGTTGTGCCTTTAAGGACTAATAAAATAACATTCCCGCTCTATATACAACTCTCAGTATGGTATATATTTTTAGATTCAAAAAGGAAGAGTGCGAGGATTGGGGATTGCCCCCACTTTTAAAGGATTTGGACACAAGTATGCTTAACTTTGCGAAGTGTGTTGCTAGATCTAAGCATTCACAGACACACCCTTTCAAGCCATCTTCCCTTCCGAGCACACGATATTTGTATTTTAATTTTTAAACATTGTTCTAGGTGTTATACATTTACTTTATTTTGTTCTTATAAGGTATCTACATGTAAATAAAATTTTAAAATGAATGCTTCGTAGCGAACACATGCGAGTTTATATTTTTCAAACAATCTTTGCCAATTACTACACTGCATGTACACGTTAGTTGTTTGTGCGGTGTAGAGCAACAATGTATTTCAACATCGAGGTGCCCGCGGCTCTCTGTGGCCACGTGTATGTAAACGAGGACTGGACTACAACACGTAAAGACACAAAGCGGCAGAGATGGATGAAACTGTTTGCTATATTACAAAGACTTGAATTATAGTACATGTATATTTGAAGGAATTTTTATTTATGTTAATGTTTATTTAATTCTATAAATAATAAATGGACATTCACAAGAGTGATGGTAAAAATAATATGTGCGTAGCATGCGTAGTAATTACAATTATTTACCGAAGCCCCCATTCAATTACAATTGCAGATGAATTAAAATACAATAACACGGGATAGAGCAATACTTTTTTTTAAATGTATTGTTGCGTGAACAGACAAAAACAGCGATTAAAATTCAAAATGATTTTTATGCACCAGTGTTTGGAATTAAGATTATAAAAGATCGGTAAAGTAATCTTACTGATTCGATATAATTAAAAACATAACTTTCCATTAATTAATAGCTCTCTGTGCAAAATTGACATTATACGCGATCACAAATACTAGCTTTGTTTATGGCCACAGGTGGCTAGTACACTGGTGACCTCGATCAACAGCGTGGGATTCGCGCGTTGGGTTACATAACTAAACATCGAGCTGAACATGGAGACCGTAATATGCATACAGCTAATGATCGTGAATTATTCAATGCATACAGTTTAGAATCACTTACAAAGTTTGTTGTAATAATAAACGTAGAAAGATAGATTTAATATTCTCCGCTTTTGAACACTATTAACCTAATTTAAAAAAGAAGAAAAGAAAGACTAGTTGTAATAAATACTTTAATAGTGAACCATAAACCACGTTTTAAACCTTATTAAAAGGAAAATTAACATTAAATACCGCAGGGTATATTATTGATAGCAAGTCTGTTTAAGTTATACACATGAAGAGGTCTGATTTTCTTGCTGAATGAAAAACGTTACCTGTTTACCTGGCCTGCTTTCTAATACGTATTACGCAATACCCATGGTATACTCGAACAAAACAACATTTTCATTAGATCAAAAAGGTGTAAAAGAACAATTTTGTTCCCAAGATCCAGATCGAAATATTTACCGTTTTTGAGTTATAAAGCAAAAACTTTTAAGGGCCCAAGATCCCTAATCATAGGGGCCAGCCCCTTTTAAATAGTATAATATAAAAGCCCTTGCAATTATGCACAACTTTTGTTCTACATGTCTTAACAAAATATTTCAAGTTTTCAAGATATAAAGGAAAATATGTCAAATTTTTTGCTGTTTTCCGCGTTCTAACTTTTGACCCCTCTCTAGCGCCATTTTTAATGCAAAAATCAAGAAAGAAAAACCGATGTGCACAACTTCAATGCTTCTTCTTTTCAATTTCAAATGGTATTGTGCTCAAATTATTACAATTTCCGAGCCTTTGTCTGGAAACCAGAGGCATAAAAATTTCAATCAAAGGGGAATAACTCGTGACCAGAAGGTAATTTCCGAATTGTATTACAGTATTCTGAGAGTGTTTTGTAAAGTCTAAAAGCTCTGAAAATTTGAACAAAATCCGTTCAGAAATGAGGAAGATATAAAGCTTCAAAGTTGGCGTCTAGGAAAAAAAAAAAAAAGAATAATCTTAATCAGTACAATCAGTAGAAGGTCTTCCGTTGGAAACGGAAGACCTTAAAGATGAATAGTGTAATTTTTTTCAGCTACATTAATCATTTTCTTGTTATTCCTACTTAGATTACTCTTCCCTGGTGAGATTCCTTGGTGGCCAACCAGGAATACAGAAAATTGATCTACCTGGACCCTCACGATTGAATGAACTTCAAGGTACATTATTATTCAAAGTACTGTATCATCAGCTCAACATGTTTCTAACATTACTCAAAAAAAAAGATTTCAGTCTGTCTTTACTGCAATTATCAGTCTACATGATCCATTCTGGAATACCGATCCCGATGTATTTTCATAGTATTTAAATATAAGTTTGTGTAGTAACTGAATATGATACAGTTTCAAAGTACAGTATCAGGAGCTCATGTATTAATGCTAATTATCAAAACCCTGCCTCTTAAAACTCAAAATTCAAAAGTTAAATTAAACTGCCCCGGGTATTTTTTGCAATGTAGGTCAAGTGGATTTTAATGCTGGTATTTTTCATAATGACTTGTGATAAATAGTGCACATGCTAAATAGCACAGGCTTAACTTAAATGTCAAAAATATGCTGTATATCGGTGCTATGAATTGTTTTGAATAGTAGGTCAAGGGTCACATGTTCAGTAACCATGGTAATTTACAAAAGCCATGGTGCCAAGCAATATATGTGCAAAATATCAAGTCCATACCTCTTACAGTTCTCGAGATATAGGGTGTGACAGACAGACAGACACCGGGTGAAGTGATCCCTAAGTGCCGCTCTGCTCTACAGTTACACAAAAAGGACTGCAACATGTGGACCATATGCATGTGTTTATAGATTGTAAAATAAAAGACTTTTTTCTCTTGATCTGAGACATAAATTTTTCATCATGAAGTAGACGATAATACATTGCAAAATCAGTATCACATCCCATTTCAACCTGACTCCAATATCGGCCAGATCGAGGGCTGATATTTATAATTGATTGAGGGTTGATATGGGATGTGATACTGATTTTGCCATGTACATGTATTGTTGTTAGCTCAGCTGAGCTGAAAGCTCAAATGAGCTTTTTTGATCACTCGGTGTTCGTTCGTCTGTCTGTCTGTCCATCCATCTGTAATCTTTTCAAATTTTCAACTTCTTCTCAAAAACCACTGGGCCAATTTTTACCAAAATTGGTACAAAGCTTTGAATTCCGGAGTGAAGGATATTCCAAATTATTAAAATGAAGGGCCAAGCGCCCCTCCAAGGATAGATAATTGAGAAAAGGCAAAAATAGGGTTGGGTCATTAAAAAATCTTTTTCTCAAGAACCACTGAACCAGAAAAAACTTACGTGGAAGCTTTCTGAGGTGGTGTAAATTCTAAATTATTCAAATCATGGTCCCTGGGTTAGGGTGGAGCCACAATAGGGAATTAAAATTTTACATTGAAATATATAGAAAAAATCTGTAAAAATTATTTTCCCAAGAACCATTGGACCAGGAAAGCTGAAACTTATGTGGACACTTCCTGAGGTAGTGTAGATTCTGACTTCTTTAAATCATGGCCCCCGTGATGTGATGGGGCCACAATAGGGAATCAAAGATTTACATTGAAATATACAAGAAAAATCTGTTAAAATCTTCGTCTCAAGTACCATTGAACCAGAAAATCTATAAGTTACATGGAAGCTTTCTTAGGTAGTGTAGATTTTTAGGTCACCTGAGTCACTCAGGTGACCTATTGCTATCTGTATTCATCTGTCATCGTTCGTTGTCAATCGTCATGAACTTTTGAACATTTTTAGCTTCTTCTCTGGAACAACTGAACCAATTTCAACCAATTTTGGCATAAAGCATCTATAGATAAATAGATTAAGGAGAGTAAAAATTTTGAAATTTATAGCCCCCCGGGACCTGAGGGATGGGGCTAAACCATCAAAATTAATGCAATCTTTAAAAATCTTCTTCTTTACTCCTGGACATCAAACAGTCAAACTGTTGGCAGCATGATTGTAATAAGCATTGAGCCCTCTACCAAAATTGTGAAATTATGCATGGCCCCAGGGTCAGGGGTTCTGGCACTAGGGTGGGGCTCTAATGATAATAAAGTGAAAATGCATTAATTCTTTAAAAATCTTTTCCTCTGCTCCTAGGTATTTAGCTGATGAACTAAGTACATAGTTATGATGAACAAGAGTGCTTCTTCCATAATTGTGAATTTCATGGCCCCTGGGTCAGGGCTTCTGGTGTTAGGGCGAGGCTCTAATGATTATATAGTCATAGTGCATTAATTCTTTGAAAATCTTCTCCTCTGCTCCTGGATATTAAGCCAATGAATTAAGTACATAATTATGATGAGGAATAGTGCCTCTTCCAAAATTGTGAATTTCATGGCCCCTGGGTCAGTGGTTCTGGTGTTAGTGCGGGCTCTAATGATTATATAGTGAAAATGCATTAATTCTTTAAAAATCTCCTCTGCTCCTGGGTATCAAGCCAATGAACTAAGTACAAAGTTATAATGACGAAGAGTGCCTCTACCAAAATTGTTAATTTCATGGCCCCTGGATCGGGGGTTCCTTGGGGGGGGGGGGGGGCTTATTTATTATATACTGAAAATAAATCAATGCTTTGAAAATCTTCTCCTCTGCCCCTTGGTATTAATTAAACAAACTAAATAAATAGTTATAATGAGAAAGGGTGCCTCTTCCAAAATTGTGAATTGGGTGGGGCTCTATTGATTAATTAGCAAAAATGCATTAATGCTTTGAAAATCTTCTCCTCTGGCCCTGAGTACTAAGCAAACAAACTAAATGCAATAATATCAATGTAAATATATTAAATATAATTATTTCTTTGCTTCTGGGTATCTAGGATGCAAACAGTGTACACAATTGTAATAAGTGAAGCAGTCCCTGTAAGACTTGGGAAAACCAAGTACTATCCCAAGGAGATCACCTGGGTCCAGCACATAACAATAAGCAAGGGTATTTTTACCAGATTTTTGAAATTCTTGGGCAACATTGCTTTGTCTTTCAGTTAATTTAGTTTTATACTTCTATGGATCCTTTCCAGTGTTGTATTATACTCAGGTGACCATTAAGGGCCACAATAGGGAATAAAAGTTTTACATTATAATAATATAAAGAAAAAATCTTCTCAAGAACCTCTAGGCCAGAAAAGCTGAGACTTATGTGGAAGATTTCTTATGTAGTGTAGATTATAAATTGTTCAAATCGTGGCTGCTGAAGATAGGGTGGGACCATGATAGGGAATCAAAATACTGCAATGAAATATATAAGAAAAATCTTTTAAAATCTTCTTCTCAAGAACCATTGGACCAGAAAAGCTAAAAATTATGTGGAAGCTTTCTGAGGTATTGTAGATTCTAAGTTGTACAAATCATGGCCCTCAGGGTCAGGATGGGGCCAGAATAGAGAATCAAAGTTTTACATTAAAAATAAAGGAAAAAACTTTTTAAATTTTCTTCTCAGGAACCTCTGGGCCAGAAGAGCTGAAACTTAAGTGGAAGCTTTCTTATGTAGTATAGAGGATAAATTGTTCAAACATGCCCCCCCCCCCCCTCCTGGTTAGGGTGGGGCCACATTAGGGAAACAAAGTATTGAAAAAAATCTTTAAAAATTATTTTCTCAAGAATCAAAGTGACTCGGGTGAGTGTTGTGGCCCTTAGGCCTATTGTTTTCATTATATATTTGAGAAGTAAATGTTGACAATTCATATATATATATATATATATATATATATATATATATATATATATATATATATATATACTAGACTTTGACCTGTGCGTGCACGGGTTGACATTGTTTTGAATGCATCCATGTGCATATCGGACATTTACAAAATAGATACATCGACACATTCATATATTGTAAGGTACTTTGAAATAAACAATGAATGTGAATATAATTCTGTTTTGTTTTTTTTTTTTCTTTTTTTTTCAAAAACGGCGTAGCGCAGAATGGGTTTGACCCAAAGTTAGCTATAAATCAAGTCATGAGTTCAAATCACGCCGGAGCTTACATAAATTTCACCTTTCCAAACAAATTTAATAAAAGAAATTATGGATATTTATTGAAAATATGACAACAACAAAGAGCTGAGCACTGCTGATACATATCAAGCAAAGTAGTGAAAATGAAAATGAAGAAATTTGTTCAGCTGGTATTTTTACACAATTAGTTATTAAACTAAATGTGTAAAAATTTTTGTAACAATTTTAACACTGCAGGTCTCAACTTGTTCAAAATATGACCTCAACAATAAAAGAGTTATTAAGCACTGCTAATACATATAGTTTATATATACACAGATAATAGACATGTATATAATCTGTAAAAGCAGAAATGAAAATGGACAAATGTGCTATACTGGTATTTCTACACAATTTAGCAGATGTGAAGCAGAACAGATTATCTTGCAAATACACCCCCCCCCCCCCCCAAAAGAAAAAACATACTGGTTGTTCAAGAGATCATAATAAAAATTAAGAATATCAAATGTACTTTATTGCGTGGACCCTGAGGTCCACGCAGAAAATATATTAGCGGAGTTAAACTGGATGCCATGGGCTTACGTCAGGCTACACATGCGCGAGGATGCTAGAGAGTTCGCCTCTAAGACAACTTGCCCATAGAACAATTCGCCCTATTCGAATTAGAATATGCCAATCATTGGCAAACCTCGCTTCTAAAATCTGCACATCGTATTTATGTATTCTTTGGCGTAACCAAGATCTGAATTTCTCTTTAATACATATATCCTTATATACAAACTAAACTCTGGTACAAGCATTTTAAATAAGTAGGAAGAACTTATAGAGATAGCTTAACAGCTTGAACATGTTGAATTAAAACCACTAGGTTTTTTAAAAAGATAGTCTTTGCCATGTTTACCGGCATTAGTTTTGTGCATCAAGGTTTGCAAAATAATTTGATAGGCAGCAATCTAAATATAGCTTGATAAAGGCCTGTAGCAATATTTTTCCATGTGGGGGAGAGGGAGAAACATCCAAAAAAAAATCTGCTTACTACAGATCTGTGCTACATGTGTACCATCTATCTTTCCAATGATAGGATACTTCCGTATAAATCTAGTACAGATGTCAAGTACCAGCCGTTAAGCATTACATGTATCGAAATAGCCCGATTTTTTTTCAGTTAAATGACAAAACTATAGGCCA